GGTTTGAGGGTTTGTATTTAATTCCAACTGACCTCTTATTCTAATCTTCATTTTCCCTGTCCTGTTTCTTATCTATATTTTTCTGTTTTACAGCATATTTTCTTATTGAATGAAAACTATAAACCAACAATCAAAGGGTATATAAAGAGAACTACAGGTACCACAAAGCAGAATGAATGGAATGGAATCCTGGGGAGTGATAAAGATTATGACTGATACTTTAGTGAGCATGATCAGTTGGGAGAATCTGTGAGAGGAGTTGAGCTTATGAGAGAAGTTCTTGCATTTTACGGCATCAAGAGAACCTGGAGGAAGAACTCTATGCTTAAATGAAACTCTGTGGTTGTAATTGCCCCACACACACTTAATTTCCTTTTCCCCCCTCTATCCTCTCCATCTTGGCACACAGGGCAGTGTAGCTTGATACGTCTACATGTACTGGGTTGCAATCCTTTCTTTTCCTGAATAAATCATTTCTAGTGAAGAAATGCTTAGTTGATACTAGTTTTTGTAGTTGACAGGGGTGGTGGAGAAGATAAAGAAAGGCTGGATAGCCCATCTGGCATGGCTCAGCAGTTGACCACTGACTTATGATCCAGGAGATTGTGGTTTGATTCCCAGTCAGGGCACATGCCGGGGTTGTGGGCTCCATCCCCAGCAGGGGGCGTGCAAGAGGCAGCCAATCAATAATTCTCTCACCATTGATGTTTCTCTCCCTCTCCCCCCCCCCACTGCCTCTGAAAAGCAATAGAGAAAAAAATCCTCAGGTGAGGATATAAAAATAAATAAATACATATATATAAGATCAAGAGAAAATAGAAATTTATGCAAAATAGGTTGGGAAAGGCAAATTATCCCAAATTATCTGTCCCTTTTCTTTTTTTCCAAAGGAAATGATTGTTGATGCTCTGAGGAGTTAAATTATAATAACACATGCCAGGAAGATGATGTCAGGGAAGGCGTGGTTAAGCCCTTTACAAGTCTGAAATTCCTTTAGTCCCAAACATTTCCTCTTTAAATCTTACCTACATTCAAATCCCTCTACTGATCTAATGTTGAAGAAACAGTGTTGAGACCTTAGAACACAGATCTTTTTACTTCAGGCTTTTTTTTTTTTAACGAACCAATAATAATTGAAAGTCATTAAAATAGATGTTTTTTAAAAATGTACCACATTATTTTATGGAATCTCTCTTTGAAATCCACATTTTCCCCCTTCTGTGACTATTTTAATTCCAAAGAAAGGAATGGATATTCAGCACTACATCCTGAGGAAAAAAACCTGCCTTTATTAGGAATTATACATTTGTTGTTTTGATTTGCATTTCCCTAATAATTAGTGGTGCTGAACATCTTTTCATATGCCTGTTGGCCATCTGTATGTCTTCCTTGGAAAAATATCTATTCAGATCCTCTGCCTATTTTTCATTTGGGTTATTTGTTTTTTGTTGTTGAGTTGTATGAGTTCTTCATATATTACCCTCTGATACTAACCTCTTATTGGAAGTATTGTTTGCAAATGTCTTCTCCCCCCATCGCAAAAAACCTTCTCCCACTTGTTCTGTTGATGGTTTCCTCTGCTGTGCAGAAGCTTTTTCGTTTGATGGAATCCCATTAGTTTATTTTTGCTTTGTTTCCTTTGCCTTTGGAGTCAAATTCCAAAAACATCACTATAACCAATGTCCAAAAGCTTAGTACCTATGTTTTCTTCTATGTATTTTATTGTTTCAAGTCTTACANTTTTTTAAAAATGTACCACATTATTTTATGGAATCTCTCTTTGAAATCCACATTTTCCCCCTTCTGTGACTATTTTAATTCCAAAGAAAGGAATGGATATTCAGCACTACATCCTGAGGAAAAAAACCTGCCTTTATTAGGAATTATACATTTGTTGTTTTGATTTGCATTTCCCTAATAATTAGTGGTGCTGAACATCTTTTCATATGCCTGTTGGCCATCTGTATGTCTTCCTTGGAAAAATATCTATTCAGATCCTCTGCCTATTTTTCATTTGGGTTATTTGTTTTTTGTTGTTGAGTTGTATGAGTTCTTCATATATTACCCTCTGATACTAACCTCTTATTGGAAGTATTGTTTGCAAATGTCTTCTCCCCCCATCGCAAAAAACCTTCTCCCACTTGTTCTGTTGATGGTTTCCTCTGCTGTGCAGAAGCTTTTTCGTTTGATGGAATCCCATTAGTTTATTTTTGCTTTGTTTCCTTTGCCTTTGGAGTCAAATTCCAAAAACATCACTATAACCAATGTCCAAAAGCTTAGTACCTATGTTTTCTTCTATGTATTTTATTGTTTCAAGTCTTACATTCAAGTCTTTAATCCATTTTGAGTTAATTTTTGTATGTTGTATCATATAGTGGTCTACTTTTATTCTCTTGCATGTGGCTATCCAGTTTTCCCAACACCATTTATTGAAGAGACTTTCCTTTCTCCACTGTATATTCTTAGCTCCTTCATCGTAAATTAGTTGCCCATATATGTGTGGGGTTATTTCTGGGCTCCCAATTCTGTTCCATTGGCCTGTGTTTTTGTTTGAATCAGATATTTAGAATTTGTACTTTTTTAGAAGTTTAGAGTTCGATTGTTCTTTCAGTTTTTTAAATATTTTTGACAGGTCCAAGAACTTTATTACATAGACTTATTCTACTTGAGAAACTGAGTTCTTAATAGAAATGGCAAATTGGCCAACATCAAAATTGTAACTTTACCTTGTCATAGAAAAAGTCTGGTAGAGTACATATACCAAACTGCTGCCAGTTATTCTCCTTGAGGGGTGAGATTTGGGTAATAAACATCAGGACATGAAGGGAGGACTTGACTTTTAATTTTATAAACCTCTTCATGTTTAAGGATTTTTGTTATTGTTGGTGGTGGTGGTAGTGGTGGTGGTTGTTTTAATCCTCACCTGAGGATATTTTTTCCATTACTTTTTCAGAGAAAGTGGAAGGGAGAGAGAGAGAGAAATACATCGATGTGAGAGAGACACATCAATTGGTTGCCTCCCGCACCCACCCCAAACAGGGCCAGGGATCCAGTCTGCAACAGTAATAGGTGCCCTTGGCTGGAATCAAACCCGAGATCCTTCAGTCCGCGGGCCGATGCTCTAACCACTGAGCCAAACCAGCTAGGACTATGCTTAAGTTTTTTTTAATTGGTATGTCTTACACTTACTACTAAAAACTAATAAAAGTTATTTTTCAAATTAAACCTTAGGTATAAAAATGCACAAATTACATGAGCAAATCCATCTAAAACACTCTCCTCAAAAGAGAAATGAACACATGAAGCTCTATATTTCAACACAAAAACAAAGAGCAATGTAGTAATGCTTTAGTCTAAATATACCTAATAGTCACAGACTTACATATAGATGCAAGGAATCATATATATAGCCACAAAGTGATGTCATCATAACACTGACCTGTGAGAACCCAAAGATTTCTTGACAAATGCATTAGTAAGTATGTATCTACTCCCCACCACCACCACCACTGCCAATGTTTCCTGAATTGCTTCTCAAAATTTACAAGTTATCAAGAAGAGAGGTAAGATTTAAATCCAAACCCATAAGCATACCTCTTTGTCCCCTTTACTATCCTAGATTCAGAAGATGGTTAAACGTTATTTTATACTACAAGTGGGGAAGCAAGTAGAGAGCTAAGAAAAGAGAAGATTTTTAGATAGCATCAAATACATGAAACCCCTAATAGGAAAAAAACTAATTCCTCTAATTCATTTTACTTTATTTTAATGGGTCTGGTTAACTGGAGAGACTTGGGGGAGGGAAAAAATCAGGAAGAAAACTTTCATATAGTACTATGTAAGATCTGAAAAGAATAAAAAAGATGAACTATCCCTCGAAGTCATATATCTATCCATAAATATGTGTGTATGTATTATAAATAACCAACACCCGACCCATATTTTTTAAGGATATAACTGGAATGAATACCATATAATCCATAAACTAACACTAAGTGTTTTGGGTCTAAACATTTACTCACTGCCTTGATCACACACTGTGTTTAAATCTACCTGTAACAGTTTCTTTAGGTATATGAGAAAGCAGCAGGAATCCTTTCCCACCCTCCAGCACTCCATCAGATGATCAAAAGATCCCTAAATGTCTATGGTATCTTTTTTCTTCAAAGAACAGCTAGGACACTGAGAGAGGGTAAAGGGTCTTTCTGTTACAGCATGGAGTTCCTCCTAATCAGCCCTGAAATGCCAAAAAACTACCAAGGATATTCTCTGGCAAATGTGGGCATGGTGTCCACCTCTCTCCAGACTGCTCAGGTGTCCAAGCAAAGACAACTCTTTGGCAGCCTCAGGTTAATCCTAAAGACTCCAAGGATCCCTGCTGAGCCTGACTATCTACAGATCTCAAAGCACCAGCTCGGCAGCAAAGCCCAAAGAATCACAGAACTTTCTGCCTTAATCCTAAAGCATGTCTTCTCTTAAGGCTCCTTTCCTTCAGGCTGGGTCGGGTGGGGTCTCTATCTAGTCTAGAAGAGTACAACCAGTTCTTGATGAAGCTGTTGTGATTTCACTGACTATATTTCTGCTACCTGATATTACTGGTGGAATGGGCAGGAAGGAAGGTGGGGTGAGAGAGAATGGAAACAGTTAATCAAATAAAATAGTACTGGAGGGGGGTGGACTAGGGGCCAGGGTCTGAGATGACATATTATCCCTGTGGAGATTAGGTATATCAGCAAGAAGTCAAACTAACTTCATTTCTCAAAGATAAAAACTTGTTTTTAATTCCCCTGCCTTCTCAGGCCTCACATACAAAGACTGTAAATTCCTGGAACTTCAGAACCAGGTAAAAAAAGATGCCAGAAAGTGGTGGAAAAGGGAGAGGTGCTGAGATGAGAAAGGAATCCTTTTCCTGTCTTAAAGAGAATGTTAGAGCCAAGAGCACTCCCGGATTCCCAGAAAAGGAAGTAGCTGAATTCCAAAAAAAAAGCACTTTTCCCTACCTTTTTGTTGTTCTTGTTATAGCCAAAAGTCGAAATCCCAGGTCTGGAAGTCACTGATAGCAGCATTTTCTCTTTAATATTAGGGAGCTGAGAGAGAGGAGAGGGAGAGGAACAGGGAGGGAAGAGAGAGAGGGAGAGAGAGAGGAAAAGGAGAGAGGGAGAGGGAGAGGGGGAGAGGGAGAAAGAGAGAGGGAGAGAGGGAGAGAGAGGGAGGGAGGGA